CCGGGTATCGTGACGTCACTGATATTCGACTAAATATTGGTCGCAACAGGTCATGCTTCATTTGTACCTTCGTACCTGTCTACTGCAAGCACTGGCGTGATGAATAAAAGCTACCAAATCACGTGAGTGTGTGACGTCACTGGTCATGCATTTTTATGGATCTTTGGGGGCCAACTGAGGGCCGTAAAGCACAACCTAATGATGTGACGTCACTGGCATTCGACTGTGTGTGATGTCACTTGTGATCAGATTTTACGGCCTCTTTTGGGCCGACGAAAGGTCATACGACATTAACTGAAGATGTGACGTCACTGGCATCCGAATAAAATTCAGGCGGGACAGGCCATGCCCCATCTTTACCTTTGGTACCTGTCTATTGCAAGCATTTGAATGCTGAAGGAAAGCTGTGCCGAATTACCCGAGTGTGTAACGTCACTAACCATGAATTTGTATAGACTGTTTTGAACCCACCGTAAGCCATACCACATCAGATGACCATATGACGTCACCGGTTTTCGTCTAATGTCATGCGCAACAGGCCATGCTCTATATTTGCCTTTCGCACCTGTTTACTGCAAGCCTTCGCGTGCTATATCAAGGTGATGCCGAACCATCTGAGTGCGTGACGTCATTGGTCATGAGTTTACACAGGTTCACTTGGGCAGCCCAATGCAACAAAGCATCATATCCTGTGAAGCATCGCGGGATGATATGACGTCACTGGTATTCGACTCAACATCAAGCGCAACAGGCCATGTTCCATCTTTACCTTTCGTACCTGTCTACTGCAAGCATTCGCGTGTTATATCACGTCATTGGTTAGGAGTTCTTACGGGCTCTTTTCAACCCCCTATATGGTATAATGCTTCAGCTGACGATATGATGTCACTGGTGTTCGACTTAACATCAGGCACAACATGTCATGTTCCATCTTTGCCTTTCGCACCTGTTAAAGTATTGGCGAGCCTAATGATGGCTCTGCCGAATCACCTGAGTGCGTCGTCATGAGTTTTTACAGGCTATTGTTGGCCGAGTGAAAGCCATAAGGCATCATCTAACGATATGTCGTCACTGGTAATCCACTAAGTGTGTGACGCCATTGGTCATGAGTTTTCCCGGGCCTTTTTGGGCCGACTTAAGGCCATTAGGCATCAGGTAACGATATGACGTCATTGGTATTCAATTAAGCATCAGATACAATATGTCATGTTTCATCTTAACCTTCCGCACCTATCTACTGCAAGTATTCGCGCGCCACATAAAGGCTCTGCGCAATCACCTGAGCGTGTGGTGTGACTGGTTATGAGTTTACGTGGGTTTACTCGGGCTGACTGAAGGACATTAAGCATCATCTGGCGATGTGACGTCACTGGTATTCAACTTAACACCAGGCGCGACAGGCTATGTTCGTCTTTACCTTTCGTACCTGTCTATTGTAAGCATTGACATGCTTAAAGAAAGCTCTGTGAAATATCCTGAGTGTGTAATATCACTGGTCATAAGTTCTTTACGGGCTGCTTTTTTGTACCTGTAGGGTACAAGGCATCAGTTGACGATATGACATCACTGGTATTTGACTTAATCTCAGGCGCAACAGGCCATGTTCCATCTTTGCCTTTCGCACCTCTACACTGCAAGCATTCGCGCGCTACATAAAGGCTCTGCCGAATCACCTGAGCATGTGGTGTAACTGGTCATGAGTTTACGCGGGCTTACTCGGGCTGACTGAAGGACATCAAGCATCACCTGACCATATGACGTCACTGATATTCGGGCTGTGGCCCAGACTTATGGCCGCTAGGCGGCGCCCTTTATAAATATTTAGCCATCAAGGCATTCCGGACCGTAGCTGCTCAGGGGCGCATCCTGTGATGTCGGGCGGAATGGCTTTGCATATACGTCGGTTTGTGGGCTGGGATCACCTTTGTTTGTGTTTACGTTTGTTCAAAATTGTAGTCGTTGAAACAGCCCGCTGCGTTTGAAGTTGTTACTTAATGGTGCGCACAATAAAATTAGTGTGCTTAACTATGGTGCATCTCCCACCTCTGCTGCGAAATTTCGTAGCCATAGGTGGCCAAGTGACCTCCTACCAACTGATTATCAGTGACGTCACATACTCAGGTGATTCGGCGGAGCCTTCATATAGCACGCGAATATTTGCAGCAGCCAGGTACGAAAGGCAAATATGGAACATGACCTGTTGCGCCTGATGTTTAGTCGAGCACCAGTAACGTCATGTCGTCAGCTGATGTATTATGACCTATAATGGGTTCAAAAGAGCCCATAAAAACTCGTGACCAGTGACGTCACGCACTCATTCGACGGAGCCTTCATTCAGCACGTCAATACCTTTAATAGACAGGTACGAAAGGTAAAGGAAGTACGTGGCATGTTGGACCTGATGTTAAGTCGAATAACAGTGACGACATATCATACAGTGATGCATCACGGGAGATGTTGCTTTGTGGCCTTGGGCGGCCCGAGTGAATCCGTATAAACTCATGACCAGCGACGTCACCCACTCAGATGATTCGTCTGGAGTTTAGTCGATTACCAGTGACGTCATATCGGCAGCTGATGCTTGATGTCCTTCAGTCAGCCCGAGTAAACCTGCACAAACTCATGACCAGTTACACCACACGCTCAGGCGAATCGACAGAGCCTTTTTGTAGCGCACGAATACTTGCAGTAGGCAGGTGCGAAAGGTAAAGATGAAACATGGCTTTTTGCAACTGATGTTAATTCGAATACGAGTGACGCCATAACGTTATCTGATGCCTAATGGCCTGAACTCGGCCAAAAAAGCCCGTAAAAGCTCATGACCAGTGACGTCACACTCAGTGGATTACCAGTGACGTCATTTCGTTAGCTGATGCCTTATGGCTTTCGCTCAGCCAAAAATAGTTGGTAAAAATTCATGACCAGTGACGTCGCACACTCAGGTGACTCGGCAAAGCCATCATTTAACGCACCAATACTTAACAGGTACGAAAGGCAAAGATGGAACATGACCTGTTACGCCTCATGTTAAGTCGAACACCATTGACATCATGTCGCCAACTAATGCATTTTTCTCTATAGAGGGTTCCAAGGAGCCAGAAAAAACTCATGACCAGTAACGTTACACACCCAGGAGACTCGACAGAGCCTTCATTCAGCACGTCAATACTTGTAATAGACGGGTACGAAAGGTAAAGATAGAACATGGTCTGTCGCGCCTGATGTCAAGTCGGACACCAGTGACGTCATATCGTCAGCTGATGCATTATACCGTTTGGGGGTACAAAAGGTCCCGTAAAAAGCTCTCGGCCAGTGACGTTACTTACTCAGGAGACTCGACAGAGCCTTCATTCAGCACACCAATACTTCCAAGAGACAGGTACGAAAGGTAAAGATGGAACATGGCCTGTCGCGCCTGGAGTTTAGTCGAATACCAGTGACGTCATATCGTCAGCTGATGCTTGATGTCCTTTGGTCAGCTAGAGTAAACCCGCGTAAACTCATAACTAGTTACACCACACGCTCAGGTAATTCGGCAGAGCCCCTATGTGTCGCGCGAATGCTTGCAGTAGATAGGTGCGAAAGGTACGGACGAAACGTGGCTTAGATAAAGCATGGCCTGTTGCGCATGACGTCTAGTCGGGACCCAGTGACATCATATCGTCAGCTGATGCCTTGTGGCCTATAGTAGGTTCAGAAGAGTATACAAATTAATGGTCAGTGACGTACACACTCAGGTAATTTGGCGGAGCCTTCCACGGCAATGCCTGCAATGGACCGGTACCAAAGATAAAGGTGGAACATGGCCTGTCGCGTCCGAAGTTCATTCGAATACCAGTGACGTCACATCGTCAGTCAGTGCCGTATGACCTTTCGTCGGACCAAAAGAGACCGTAAAATCTCATGACCAGCGGCACGCACAGTCGAATGCCAGTGACGTCACATCGTTAGCTGATGCTTTATGGTCTTCAGTTGGCCGCAAAAAAATCCGCCAATAGTTGCAGCAGACATGTACGAAAGGTATAAATGCAGCATGACCTGTTGCCTGATGTTCAGCCAAATACCAGTGACGTCATATCGCCAGCTGATGCCTTACGGCATTTCGTCGGTCCTAAAGGGCCCGTTGAAACCCACGACCATTGACGTCTTACAATCAGTCGTATAGCAGTGACGTCGTTAGCTGACACCTTGTGGTCTTCAGTTGGCCGAAAAGCACCGGTGGAACTCATGACCAGTGACGTCACACACTCAGGTGGTTCGGCAGCTCTCATCCAGCACGCCAATGCTTGCAGTAGACAGGTACAAAGGTAAAAATGAAGCACGGCCTGTTGCGCCCAGTATTTATTCGGATACCAGTGACGTCACGCTATCCGGCGATACTTCGCGGACCATGACACACCGTGGTCGTGGGGCCTAAGTGCACTCGTATGAAGTGATGATTAGGGACGTCACACATTGAGGTGATTCGGTCAAACCTTTATGCGGCACGCAAATGCTTGCAGCAGACAGGTACGAAAAGTAAAGATGGAACAAGGCCGGTCGCGCCTGATGTTTAATCGAATACCAGTGACGACACATGGCCAGCTGATGCATTACGGCATTCAGTAGACCCAAAAGAGCCTTACAAACTCACGACCAGTGACGTCACATACCCAACCGGAATACCAGTGACATCATATCACAATCAAAGCCTTATGGCCTTCATCGGCCCGAAAGAACCCCGATCCCGATCGATGCAAAACCATTTTCAGTGACGGTCACCAATGTCAGCTGATGCCTCACAGCTTTTCCCCCGCACGACATACTCGAAACCCTGCAGCTAGCGTAGCTCTTCCCTCCGTCGGCCACCAGGTACCAAAGTAAAAAATTACTGATGTTTTTATTGTTTGTATGTTTTTATATATTTATTGTGTTTTTTATTGTTTTTTATTTGTTATAGTTTATCATGTATTGCATCACCGCAGCGACTGCTCTTGTAGAGAAATACCCCTGTTGTTGCCTTGTGGCGAGTGTATACAAAGTTTTGGTTTGTATTACAAATAGAAAAGCCGGGGATAATCCAGGATGGTGGTTGTGCCCATTGGCTTGTAAGTGTGTTAATGCTATTGGCTGTACTTTGTGTCATGTGGTATCCATGCAGTGAGGTTGTTTCAATTTCAGGATTCAATTCAGGTTGAAAGTAAGGTGTCCGTCTGTCATGTTGTATGGTTTTGCCTGACGTATCGTGTGTGATGCAATTCTCTAAAAAATCAAAAGCACTTGGTATTCATTTGTCTCCAGAGCTGCACTCATTAGCTGTGGGAGTAACATTTGATGCAACCTGATGATGATTTAAAGCATTACCACATGCAGACTTTTGATACTATTGGCTCAACCTTGTGCCACAAGTGTGATTTGGTCAGTCATGTGCACACTATGGAACAGTAATACAAAATGGTGCACACAAACAAAGGGAAACACATAAAAGGATATGATTTGGTGGGCAAGTGAAGGACTTCAAAATGCAGAATGTCAATGAAGTATAGGTCTGATAGAGCCAGGGTGGGTGGATGTTCCTCAATTTTCACAAAATGCATTTTTGCCTCCTCAAATTTGAGTGATATGGTACCTATTTCCATTTTTTTCCAATTTAAATTGCTTATTTTTAGGTTGGGATATTTTCCATGCTGCTGGTTGACTCCCTATTCATGGCCTGACCTGGCAGTCTGAGAGATATGGTTACACTTATGGTGACTGCTCTTGTTTTCATTGTTACAATCAGCTGCTTAGTTGTCCATACATAGTTTGTGATAACCAACAGTCTCAATTTGATGCCTAGTTTATGTGTATCTTTATGATGTGTTGAATGCTCAGCTATCTGAAATTCCTTTCAGATTAGAAGTTCTCACCATAGCTTGCCACAAATGTACTGGCTAGGGGAAACATCTCCAAAAATGACTGGAGATAACTGACAGCATTATTGGGTTAGTCAGTATTTTCTCACATATTTTACTGGTTTGGCATTATGAATGTAAAAGCATGAAGTGTTCAGATCCCAAAAAGTATACTTAAAGAATTAAATATATGAGATTATTAGTATGCTAGAGGTCAGTGCCCCTTAGAGATATCCAAGGTATTTTATACTCTACCTTTCCACAGAGAAAAGTGTTGATCTCAGCAGCCATTTTGTCAACTACAGCTGTTTGTAAACATATGCATAAGCACAAATGTTTGAGTAGATAATATCATATTTGAATATTTTACTGCATCAAACTGTCTATATATTGTGGCAAGGTCAGCAGTCTGCATGGCATGCCAGGGTATTTTTTAAACAAAATTAACCAAATCCAACATAACAGAACAGCAGTCAAGGCACCCTTCCATTTCATTTCCTCATAAAATGACTTTGAGAAGTTCAACACTATGCCAGGGAATGTTGCATGAAAAGGAATAGAGTTAAAACATAAAAAATGTAGTTAAGACAAAAGTTCAGACACCTGCCAAAGCCATTCTCTCATGTCATTCTTTCTGGATTGAGCAGGAATTCCCATTGCACTTTTTTAAGCTCCAACAGATCCCATACAAATGAAACATTCAGATATTTGTGTGTTGTATGCTATAAAGCCATGGACTAAAACATTGCTTCATTGCAAATGTAGCCATGGTGTCTCCAGTGCTCCTATGGCCCATGCTGTTACCAGAAAATTTCAGAATTACCATGTTGTGAAGAGAAACCTGGCAAACAGAAAGATGTCAAACAAATCAGGACATAATTTTCAAAATATGATAAGCACTAGCTTCAAGATGATTTGTTGTAAGGATGTCTGCCCAATGCCCCCTCCGCTTCCACAATCCCACCCCTTCTATTACTGGAATCATGTTTTGGATCACTTCTGGAACCCTTCTAATCTGCATAAACTGCCTCTTTTTCAGTCAGCATGCCTGACTACAAGTATAATGTGCTGGGGGTGGTGGTGGAGATCTTCCCGCTGAAGAAGGCGGTGATCAGCTTTCAGGAGGATGGCCGGGAACAGCGCGCACTGCTCTGGGGCGAGCGGCTGGTGTGTGAGGATGGCCGGCTCCTGCCCGAGCGCCGGCCCATCGACACAGTGCTGGCTGTGGGCGATAGTGTGCTCATGGACTGCCACATCTACGACAACAAGAACAGCCAGGACCGCTGCGACTGGTACGTGGCGCGCGCACAGCTGGCCTCGTCACCCCAGCCCAGCGACGTGGTTTCCAACGTGTCGGGCAAAGTGGACGAGCTGACGCGCACGCGCGGCTTCGTGGTGTTTCGGCAGCCGGGCCGGTCCGAGGAGCAGCGGGCGGTGTTCGTGGTGGCGCGGTATTTCGCGCGCGGCCAGCGGCTGCCGGCCGGCAGTAGCCTGTTTGACCACCTGGAGGAGGACCAGGTGGTGAACATGGACGCGGTGCACGGCGCCGGCCGGCTGGAGGCGGCCGGGTGGTACGCGCCGCTGGTGTGGCGCGGCCAGAAGCCGGACGTCCGCCTGGACCCGCAGCCGCCGCCGGAGGTGCTGGCCGAGGAGGATGGCGGGGCGCTAGCGACCACCACGCTCGCCAGTTCCCTGCTGCCAGCGCTCAGCTCGGCCGACGCCCGCCGACGGTCGGCACCCGGCACGTCGCAGGTGGGTCACGCCCGCAGACGACCGCGCTGGCGACGCAGCCAGCACCCTGCGGCGACGCCGGCCCACTGACGCCTCTACTTTTGGGACGAATTTGTTTTTGCATGACCGCTGCAGCTGGACCATCAATGCAAACAAACGCCAAGATGATGAATGTTGCGGTCCAGTGTCTAGCGGCAGTCTGTGACGTTTGGACCACTCAGTTACAAAGCCGGTGGTACGCAAGCTGTGACATCTGCGCGCGGTGTTACGGGCTTTGTAATGTCTGCATTTCTTAGTTTACTATTTTCACGCTGCGTGAAAGTCATCTGCATGCACTATTATACGTCAGGAGTCGATGAACTCTAGGTTCTCCTTTCGCCGTAGTTACAAGGCGCTTCTGCGCTAGTGTGCACGGCGCGTTTGAGGAAGAAGATGTCGGGATCGAGCTCCTGGACGCCGCCTTTGTGTTCTTCAAATTCATCGCGTTTTTTGCTGCTTGCGCTACGCCAGCTGCTGACGCTGCGCCACGCGACGCCGTGCGGCCGTAAACACGAAGTAACGTCCCTACCACGCACACCCGCGCAGCCCATCACCCTGCCTCCGGGGTTCCCGGAGCGCACGCGACGCCGGTCGGCTGACGCGGCCGATGGCTGTCGGCAGGACAAGTGGGGCTACGTGGCGAGCCTGCTGAGCGCCGAGTACGGCTTGCTCATGTGCCAGGTGGCGCCGCGCCGCTACGAGAGCGTGCTCTTCCACAACAGCGTAGCGCACCTCTCCAATCTTAACCTCAAGAACTACGATTTGCGCGCCATCTTCAAGAAAGGTGAGGGGTGGCGCTTGTCTTGTGCGGCATTTTTGTGAGGCAAAATGCGCCCACTGTCCGTGCATGGGCACACCCTCAGTCTGCACACCGGTTGTTTACATGGGGTCGTCTTACTAGCCGCCGCTTTTGTGCCCCACTGTAACCTTTGGCACGAGCGCAAGCAATTCGACATTCAAAGAACTGCTTTCGTGTGTGCATTTATAGTGTTTGCATCAACATGCGATTCATTGGCTCCACGTGTTATCCCTTAACGGTTGTTGGTTGGCTGGTACCTGCCGTTCATGTTCTGTTCGGTCCCCTGTTGTCTTTGCGTGGTTCGCGAGGACCAATTAACGTCCACCTCAGTCAAAGGGTCAACCAGCTGCCCCAGTGACGGACAATTGCAGGTGGCGGTTAGTCGCAGCTGGCGGCCCCTCCCCCTCCGTTCTGGCACCAGCTATTCGCCATGATCTGAGCACGGGCCGTTTCCAGGAAACCACCTGCGATTCGTCATGATCTCAGCACGGGCCGTTTTCAGGGACCACCAGTGATATGTCATGATCTCAGCACGGGCCGTTTTCAGGAGACCATCTGCGATTTACCATGAATTCAGCACGGGCCGTTTTCAGGAGACCACCTGCGATTCGCCATGATCTCAGCACGGGCCGTTTTCAGGAGATCACTTGCGATTTGCCATGATCTCAGCATGGGCCGTTAGGAGATCACCCGCGATTTGCCATGATCTCAGCACGGGCCGTTTTCAGATCACCTGCGATTTGTTATGATGTCAGCACCGGCCGTTTTCAGGAGATCACCTGCGATTTGCCATGATCTCAGCACGGGCCGTTTGCAGGAGACCACCTGCGATTTGAAGCGGAGCCGTCTGACAACCCGGGGGTGTACCGGTGGCGGGCGAGCAGTGTCTGGGTGGACATGTCGCAGGCGAACGGAAGCGATGCGATCTGGAGTGACCCTGGCGGCTCTGTGGGAAACTAAGACCCGCTCCGATCCCTCGGGGTGGCGCAGTGATCGTGGTGTGATAGCTTTCGCATGCGGGCGGTAGACGTTAAGAGGCGGCACGACTGTGATAATTGCCAGTGTCATTCCCGCCGAGCCAGTATTTCCTCAACGTGCGTGCGCTTCGCAGACATATTCAGAGTGTAATGTGGTCTGGGGACGGACCTGATATGTCTTGGTATCACGGGGTGCTACGCGGTATGCCGGCACAATGGGCAAGTGGCATGCTGGTGTGGGGGTGTGCATTAGAGCTGGACGTTCGGTTATTTGTTATTGCTCCCTGAATTATAGAGGATTAAGGTCGGATACGTAAGGTTCAGTGACACCGGGTTCGACTCTCTGGAAGAACAAGCCGCTTTACAGTGGGGGATTTACCGCTTGTGTATCATACTTCTTGGGTCCCCTCTTGAAAACAAATCGTTGCCGCATTCCATTGGGCATGATAAAAATGTTTGTCATACGAAATTTGTCGTGAGGTTCAACAACAAATGTCACTTCCACGCATACAGTAGAAACAATGCCCTAGCCGGGCTTAGCATATTTTTTTACTTTCTTACACATGTGGCGAAAAAAAAATAACTGACCCCCTTTGCTGGTCTTGGACAACGATGCTTCTTTCCGACCTCTTGTTCTCGCAGTCTGAAAACTATGTTTGCCCCGCCCAACAGTACGTTCCCTGAGTGCGTATGTAAGCAACGTATTTTAAACAACGTTGGATGCAATGCCTTCATTAGATGTGCTTAAATCGATCGAGCGTAAACCTGAGCCTGAATTTTATGATTTTGCAAAGAATACTAACCAATAGAAGTGGCATGCAATAGGAGTTCCATGGTACGTTCAGATATGGTAAAAGAAAAGCAACAGGACAACTACATTGCTAATTGGGCGAGTCGGGGCAAGGCGTCGCACATTGTTCCATTTTGTTCTGTTTTTTCTTTCTTCTTTGTTCTGTTTTTAACATTCCAAAGAGCTTTTGGTTGTTCTGTGAAAACTGTAAAAATCGAAGGTGAACGTGGAACGCATACCCCTAAGTATATGAATGTCGAAATCAAGCCAAACTATCAGCGATAGTATGTGTGTACTTGACCGTGATTGTCTGTGTATGTGTGCTAGCGGTCACTGAACTGCCCGGGGTATGTTTGCACTGCTTCGGCCGCCGTTATAAGGGGTTCACCTCTCTTCGAATGGTGCGCAATGCTTTCTTTTTCCTCTGGTCGCTGGCGCACATAATTAGCTCGCACATACAATCCAGAATACACATTTACCAGCTGATGTTGTTTCGACATATTTAACTGCAGGGGTGCGTTGCAAACACGGCACCCCTCTAAGCATATTATTGGGGGGGGGGGGGGGGGGGTCAGTCGGCGTGATGGCATCAACACCCAGCGGTTGGGGACATGATAAGATGCTTCCTTCTCTGATGATATCCCAGCAGCCGCCGGCATCTGACAACACCACTGCCCATTGCCCAGCGCTGGGTTTTGGCGGAGTGACAGCTCCCTTCCTCGGCATCTGCGGGCCTGTGTGAGTCGCAGCGCCCGGGGGTGTGCTGGGGCGGCGGCCGACTCCCCCAGCTTCCGACGCCGGCCGCGGCAGCCGCCGCCGTCGGTGATCAAACGCTGCCACCTGATCCCCGCCCGGTACCGGGCCGGATCCGCTGGCGCCGGTCCCGGCCGACCCGCTTCCGGCCGAGCGGCGGCGCGGCGCGTGCCGCCCGGCCATCGCCGCTGCCGCCGGCTCCGGTTACCAGCCGACGGCGTTCGCGGCGCGCGCCGCTCGTTTGCGGCGCATTATCTGCGGCGGCGGTGTCGGGATGCGCGGCGTGTCCCGGCGCCGAGCCCAGCCCCTCGCCAGCGCTCCCCCGGGGGGGCCGACCGCGCCGTCGCCCGAGGCAGCAGACCGAGGCGGGGGGTACGCGTGAAGTGTCGCAGCGCGAGCGTTTCTCCTGGTTCCGGCGAGGTCACAGTGGAGATTTCCACTGAAGCCCAGCATCTGGGGCTAGGCCAGTTAGGGTGGCGTTAGCCAGTTGGCAATTGAGACGGAAGCCCAAAATGTCAGTGCCCTTCTGAGGTTGGGGCAGATACCAGCGAAATTGCCAATCGTTAATTGCGACCGACGCGAACGTATCGCTCTTCCTAACACCGGGTGTGCCATGGAAGCCTATTAGCGCGTCACCACCACCTGAGACTAAACCAGACATGTTCCAATCAGATGTCCGCCCATACTAAGCGACCCGCCGGCAACATCGTCCGGCTGGGCAAACGCTGACCAGGTTTCCTTGGGATTGGTCCGGGGATACCACAACCAATACAGAGCCGGCAGCAGACGCAACCAAAATCTGGGGAGTATGTTCTGCCTCGCAGTGCGCAAGCTGCTCCTCCGCTGCACCAAGTCTCGCGCGAGGTCGCAGCCTCAGCCAAGCCCAAACCAGTATACCCGAATGGTCCCGAGGCGTGGCACATCTGCGCTTGACCGGCGCTGGCCGGCGGAGCAGCGCAGCCACGCGGCGCCGCGTGCGAGCGGGACGCGGTGGCGGGCCGACGGGTTCCGGGAGCCGACCCCCGGCCGGCCAGCCCGGCCGTCGCCGCCCGCCCCCGCTGGTCGCATGCATAAGCGCCGGCGCCCCGTGCCCCACCGGCCGTATTTACAAGTTGTTGACAGTGAATTATTGGGACGGGAACCACACCGACCGCCACAGGCTGTTAAGTCATTGTTCTGTATTTGTGCAAGCGGCGTACAGGAACAGCTTCTGAATTGAGGCAGAATGAGACTCTCGTATGCGCTTCACTGCAAGACAACTATGGGTGTGCTTCACAGCATTAAACATCGCTTCCTGCCTGCATATTTGTACCGCTCCAAATAGGTAAGGAACATGTTAGTTGGTGATTAATACCCTTTGGTGTAAGACAAAGCGCGGTGTAATAAACAAATTACGGTGAAAGCCCCATGGGCGGAGGCTGCGGTGGTGCGCGGTAATTCACCACCCATCCAACATCGGTATGCGTTACCAGCTTCGTTAATGAGGTGTGCGCGCCGCCCAGAGCCACGTCATCTTCACCGGCCCGTCATAAGTCCTACCCGCATACCTGCTCGAAGCATACACGGCTGGTACGTACCGGCGCATGAAAAACCCGGCTCGATCCGCTCAATTTTGCCAATAAGTTAGCGTTCCGGCATGTGCTATCCCGCTTCCCTGGCATAGCGCATTCCCACCACCCAACTTCAAATTTTTTACGGGCGTAAGCACTAATCGGCCGACCGCAAGGAATGCCTTGCCATCTCATTCATTTTCTGCACGTCTAGCGAAAAATTCGGGAACACCCAGCCCGGCCGCGGTCCTGAAGCGAGCAAAAACCCGTACATCGAGTTCGGGACGGCCGGCGGGAGCGGGCGCGGCCCCTCCGCCCGCTCGGAGTCATGATTAGCTGTCCGCGCGTGGTGCGGTATGCCCCGCCACCGACCCGCGGCCGGGGTGGGATCAGGACGGCGCGGCTCTGCAATTACCGCCTGTAATGAGCGGTGTCGGTGTCCAGGAGCTGTTGGCTTTGTTTACGGGGCGGGCCGGCCGGCGGTGCGTTGGACAGCTGGCCGCGCACGTTCCTGGAGAAGACGAGCCCTGGAGCTGATTCAGTCACAACGCACGTGCCCGGAGACGGCAGCTTCTGGAGCTAACTCAGTCGGGCCGCACACACCTGGAGCTTGCTCAGTCTGGCTGCACGCTCCTGGAGCTGGCTCAGTCGGGCCGCACGCTCCTGGAGTTGGCTCACTCGGGTCGCACACACCTGGAGTTGGCTCAGTCTGACCGCACGCTCCTGGGGAGGACCGGCTCTGGATCTGACTCAGTTGGACTACGCACTCCAGGCTCGAGGGTGCAGCCTCCGGGTCTGCAACCAGACACCGCGGCTGCGACTCGGACCGTTCGCATGTGACGAGGGTAAAAATCCAACGTCAGGAACAGTAAAAAAGAAGAAACTGTCAGATGGACTGCGCACATGCACACAACCAGGAGCGTACGTGGAACTTCACCAAGGCGAAGGCCGTTGAATTTCCAGAGCAGTTCAGTGGGAAAAACCTTTCAAAACTAGACTGGGTCCTTACCCCAGATCTGTTATGTTTTCCAATTTTAGTCACATGGCTCTGCATGCTCAAAAATGGTGCGTGCTGCAATGCACATGTTTTTTGTTTCAGCGTTTTCGCGCGTCTGGGTACGGCCATACTCCGGGGAGCCTCAGTTATTCTTCATACCGCGCGTCCGTTTTGTGGGCCGCGCACTGTCGTTATCCCTGCCGCGATCTGTAAAAGAGGTGGGACTGCGCAGTTGGCGAACATAACATTAGATGACCTGGAGAAAACAGCACGCCACGTCTCCTTGTCAGCAAGTTACGACCAAGGCGACAAGCACCCGGCTGCTGTCGGATCCCCCTCCCCCCCCCCCCGCCCGCCCGCAGCGGGAGCGGGCCGCCTCGCAGCGGGGCATGAGGCTCCGGTCGCAGCAGCGCGCCAGCGCCGCGCAGCAGCGGGCGGGGTTCGCCTCAGCAGCTGCAGTCAGATCACACTGATCAGATGTGTGACGTCGGAGTGCGCCTCAGCAGTCGCAGTCAGATCACACTGATCGGGTGTATGATGCCGGGGCGCGTCACAGCAGCTGGAGACGTATCACACTGCTCAGATGTGTGACGTCGGGTGCGCCTCAGCAGCCGAAGACAGATCACTTTGATCAGATGTATGACGCCGGGACGCGCCTCAGGAGCTGCAGTCAGATCACACAGATCAGATCTGTGACGTGGGAGCGCCTCAGCAGCTGGGGACAGATCATACGGATCACCCGTGTGGCGCTCGGCTCGTGTGTGGTGTGGGACAACTGCGACTACTGCGCACACAGCATCACTAACTAACTGTGGTTGCGGCGAGTTGTCAGGACAAGGGGAACCAGGGTCCATGAATAATAGCACCCGTTTTCCTTGTGCCTCGGAGGTTGTCCCAGAATCTGTGGTGACACTGTTGTCTCCGAATTTCAGTCGCTCGCTTCTGTACACTGTTACGGAAGGAAGCGTGCAAAGACAGACAGTTGCAGGCGTGAAACAACAGGGCAGTGATGAACTTGCCGGACCGTGCGCTGGTCGTACCACCAGCGCGATCTATTTGAACGCTTCAGCTGCGCCTCATCGCGGCATGGGCGGAAGGGTGCTGGCGGGGCACCATCTGTCGGGCTCGGTTACAGACGTGTTGTCGTGCGGCCGCACCGGCGCCGCGCGCGCGGCATGTGCGCGCCCGCGCCGGCCGGGACGGGCGTGTCCTCAGCCGCGCTCACTCGCTGCCAATTACCGCCTGACAAATCGCCGCGTCGTTTTTGTCGCCGCGGGCTGACCCGGGCGGCGACCCACGGCCGGCGCGCGACAGCGGCGCCTGACGGATGGCCGCCGGCGCCAGGGGTCGACCGCGCTGCCAGCGGAGCGCCTGCGCCGCCGCGTCGCCCGGGCGCCGGCATTGGCGCGCCGCGTCGCCGCTTTCTCACGTGGCGACCGCGAGCTGACGGCCACGGGAGCTGCGTTTTACGGCCGCGCCCTAATAACGCGCCATAAAGCACGTTCGGTTCGGAGAGGGCTGTTCGTGCCGCGGCGCCATATTCCTGCGGCAAACAAGCGGCTTCCGCCGCGGCCGGCCCGGTGTCATCCGGCCCGGCCGCAGCCGCCGCCGGACCCGCCCCGCCGCCGTATAACAAGGCAGCGACAGTGTCAACCGCCGCATTGCGGTCGACCGGCGTGTTGGCCAAGTGTCAGTAATCGATATGCGGTGGTGGGGCCGCGTGGAAAAAGGCCCGCGGCGGCGTCGGGCGAGCGCGCCTCGTTTGTTTCTGCGGCTCACAGGGCTCGCGCGGCCCGGCCCGACATGAAAGGAAGCCGCGACCAACCTCGTCTGGCGGGGTCAGAGTTGACGACGCGGCCGGCGCGACCCGGCCCACTCCGTCACCATAATCGGTCACAGCGCGACCGAGTGCGCCCGACTGTCGCCGCCCAATTATCCAGAGCGCGACGGCCGCCGGCTCGCCGGGTACCAGCTGCACCGCGTCGGGAAGCGTACCTGTCAGCCGCGCTGCCACCCGGTCAGGAAGTAATAAAACAGGCACAATCTCTAATGCGGCGTATTTTTCGGCGCCTCTGACGCGCGATGAGAAATTACCACGCCTTCTCGGGATGTACGGCTATCAAAGCGAGGCGTCCAGCGGTCGGTCAGAACAAAGGGGCGTTTTTCATTTATCATTGC